AGTTCAGAACTCTGCTGGATCCATGGGGTCCATGGGCTGCAGGCTAGACATAACTGTTGGGGTACGAGAGAAGCTGAAATAATAATAAGGTGTGGGTTTGCTGTCTCTCTGCTGGGACAGCACAGGTAGAACGTGGTTCCCAGCAGCCGGAGCCTGTGGCAGCTCTGCAGATACACAGGATAGGAATTAGCACAGATGCCTTCCCCTGGCTGCCCCTGGACTCAGGTTATCTAAGAAATGGAGTATCTGCCAGATAATAGGGAGACTCCTTGTTTGCCCCTGAGTTCAAGATAGCTAAGTTCGGAGGAAGAGAGACGTGACTAACAGAAACAATGCTTATTAGCTATGCCTTACTTAAACCAATGGACAATTTTTCTTTGTGTGCCCATGTGTATGTGTCTGTGTCCGTGTATGTGTGTGTGTGTGTGCGCGCGCGCGCGTGTGCGCGCATGCATGCGCATGCTTGTGTGCACATATGTGTGTAGGTATATGTGTAAGGAGACCAGAGGTCAGTGTCAAATGTTCTTCTTTATTGCTCTTCACCTTCTATTTATGTGTTTGGTGTGTGTGTGTGTGTGTCTATGTGTGTCTGTGTGTGTCTGTGCACATGAGTGCAGGTGCCCTATGGGGGCCAAAAGAAGGCCACAGACAGATCCCCTGGAGCTAGAGTGACGGGTGGTTGTGAGGAGCCCAGTGTGGGTGCTGGGACCAAAACCACAGTCCTTTGGAAAAGCAGCCAGTGCTCCCCACATCTACACCATCTCTCCAGCCCTCTACTTTAATTTTTGAGACAAGGTATTTCACTGAGCCTGGAGCTTTCTCTGTAGACTCACTAGCTGCCAGTGAGCCTCAGGGACACTTCCGGGTCTGCCTTTCCAGTGCTAGGATACAGGCATGCACCACCACACCTGGCTTTGGAGTGGATTCTGGGGACCCAAATTCAAGTCTTTGTGCTTGTGAGGCCAACACTTCACCAACTAAGCGGTCTCTTCAGCCCCGAAGGTCTTCATTTCTCATTTTGACCCCACTTCGCCCTCTGCGTAATATAATAAAATATCTAGATTGTATAAACCCTGGCCAAGAGCCACACATGGATGTCCTCAACAAATGAGGGGACACTGGAAAGTTGTTTTTCTTTCAATTGGCCTCAGGAAAACAAAGGCAAAATGCACATTTAATTCTCCTAGACCTTTGTTCAACTTTTTTTTTTTTCCATCTTTACTGTTAGGGAAGAATTTCAATTAGTTTGGTCTTCACTTTGGCTATGCATTTATAATTTGTCTTCTCATGTTGGCAAAGAAAATTTTGATGAAAAAAAAATTGGGCAGTAATGGAATCTTGTCTGAGCAGAACAGACCAGATTATCATAGCAAGTTGGGGAATGATGGGCATGAAGCAGCAGGGGACAGGGGAAGCAATGGGGTGTTGAACAAAGATCTACCCTTCCCAGAAGCGCCACTGTTCCTGCGGGTGTAGGGAGAGGGTGCCAGAGTGAGGAAAGCGCTTAGGTGCCAGCTGAACTTGGCCTTCGGAGTTGTCTGAGTTGTCGGGTAGGTCATTTAATCCTCTGCTCCTCGATTTTCTCATCTGTAAGCTGGGGACAATAGCGTCTACTTTGCACAGTTGTTAAGACAATAAACAAAACAAAAAGCATGAATCGTGACGCTGGAAAAATGGCTCAGCAGTTAAAAGTGATTGCTGCTCTCCTGGTTCTCAGTCAGTGCCCACATCAAGTGATTCATAATCGCCTGTAATTCTAGATCCAGGGCATCCAGTGATCTCTTCTGGCCTCCCAGGACACCTGTTCTCATGTACACACACACACACACACACACACACACACACACACACACACACACACTCACTCACACGGTAGATTTCCTTTGAGCCCCTTGAGAATTCTCCACACTGATTTCCACAGTGGCTGCACCAGATCTCAATCCCATCAGTCGTGAACGAGGGTTCCCCTTCCCCAGAATCCTTTCTAGCATTTACTGTTTGTTTTCTTGATCTTAGCCATTCTGACTGGGGCAAGACAAAATCTCAAAATAGTTTTAGTTTGCATTTCCCTAATTGCTAAGGATGTTGAACACCTTAAAGATGTATTTATTTTTTTAGACATCTTCTTTTTTGATGATTGTTCAGCTGTATACCCCACTTTTTAATTTAGTCATTTGTTTTCTTGATTCTTTGTTTTTTGAGTTCTTTGTATATTTTTGCATAATAATCTTGTATTGAATGTATAGATAGCAAAGCTTCTCCCCCACTCTGGGGGTTTTCTCTTCACTTGATTGATTGTTTTCTTTGTTGTACAGAAACTTTTAAATTTCATGAGTTCCTATTTGTCAGTTGTGGCCTTAATTCCTGAGCAAATTATAGTATATATTTATATAAGTTATATTCAGAAAATCCCTTCCTGTACCCATATCTGTTTTCTTCTAGAAACTCAGTGTTTTGTTTTCACAGTGAGGTCTTTGATCCACTTGGAGCTGATTTTTGGACAAGATGATAACTATGGGTCCAGTTTCATTCTTCGACACTGTGGCCATCCAGCCCAGTGTGGGTGGGACCATCCCTGGACAGGTAGTCCTGGGTTGTATGGGAAAGCGTGAGCATGGGCAAGCTGGCAAAGAGCGTTCCTCCATGTTTTCTGTTTCAGTTCCTGCCCTGACTTCCCTCAACAACTGACCTGCATCTGTAAACCAAATAAACCCTTTCCTCCTCAAATTGCTTTTGGTTGGAGTGTTTTACCACAGCAACACGAAGCAGGCTAAAATACACAGTGAAAAGGTGACGAGGAACAAGTACCTTGTTTCCTTGTCTCCTCCAGAGTGACTGCGTGTGTCACCTGGGGTCTCTTAGTGTACTTCTTTTCTTTTTTTTTTTCTGAGACAGGGTCTCTCTATGTAGCCCTGGCTGTCCTGGAACTCACTTTGGCCTTGAATTTAGAGATCCGCCTGCCTCTGCCTCCAGCATGCTGGGATTAAAGGCGTGTGCCACCACCACCCAGCTCTTCTTCTTCCTTTTCTTTTCTTTTTTTTACATTTTTTACATGTAATATTTTTATTGATTACTTGGGAATTTCACATAATGTACTCCAATCACCCTTAGTTCCCAGTCCTTCCACGCCTGCCCCCACTTTGTGGCCTACCTCCCAGAAAAGGTTTTTAAAAAAGGTCCAACTTGTGTTGTTCATACAGTCCCCGGAGCATGGTCACACACACTCCCAGTGGCATCTGGGCTCCTGCTGACTGGAAAGGGCAAGAAAGCTTCTCCTGCAGTGGTTTTGATGACTGCAGACTTGAGGTCGAGAGAGACAGAAGACTTCTGTGATGACCCCCACCCTACCCCCAGAAAAGAAGTAACCTAGACAGGAAGCCTAAAAAATTGTGATAAGGATGCTGAAGTGTATGTAGTTCTCCATAATAGATGGCTACTGGCCCCGGGGGTGGGGGTGAGGGGTGGGGATGACTCACTTTTCTTTAGTATACTTCTCACTGAGCCTCGAAGTACTAGTAACTCTAGTCCTAAATTAGGTTCGAAAGCTAGACTCATTCACCCTGTACAACTGCAAAGGGAAATCTGAGACCCTTTGGCCCGTGGGTCTCAGTTCCTTTCCCTCCTTCTGTCTGGGAATTGCCCTTTTCAGGTCACTGCTTTTATGTATTTTACTTTTTCTTAAGATTTCACACACAGGGAGGGATGTGGCTCAGCTGGTAGAGTGTTCGCTTAGCATTCCCGAAGCCCTAGGTCCCACCCTAAGTCATAAACCAAGAGCGGTGGGACATGCCTGTAATCCCAGCACTTGGAAGGAGGCAGAAGGATCAGGAGTTCAAGGTTATGCTGGCCCACATGGAGTTGGAGGCTAGCTTGGGTTACGGGAGACCCTCTCTCAAAAAAAAAAAAAGAAAAAGAAAAAGAAAAAGAAAAGAAAAGAAAAAGAAAAACAAAACAAAACCCAACAAAACAAAGGTCTGTTTTCAAAACTCACTCTTTTATGACCGAAGGCGACTCAGTCTATCTTCCATTTTTAAAATGTTGATCCAAGCATGGTGACCGCGACAAGGAAAGACTGTTGTCAAGATGGGCAGGGACTAAAAAGGATCTGTTTTTTCAGACAGTCGTGCTTGATTAGCGTGAGCTCTCTACCCCCTCCCAATCTAGTAACGTCTGCACACATTTTGACTGTCGGGTGTCCCTCAAAGCACAGGTCCACTCACTCTCTTTTGCTCCCACTCTCATTTTCAATTTAGAGCTGGAAGATGAAATTTCTAAATCTGAGAGGCTGAAACTGCCTCTAAGAACACCTCCACCCTTTTAAGCAGCAGACCTTTATGACAGCAGGCAGGCTCCTGCTCTGGCTCTTGAGTTTGGGAAATAGCTTTCTCTCAAGGATGTGGTTCCGTAACCGGGGATCTGGAGCAGGTGCCTTTCCACTCCATCTGCATTCCCAACTGATGATGAATTCCGCCTCTGGGAGAGAGAGTGGCTGGAGACACAAGGAAGCTCTTTAGGGTCCCTGGGCAGGATGGCGAGGCAGCAAGCGCACTGTGCAAGACACTGGGAGTCTTGGACAGGCCTCAAAGGGGGTCTTACCTGGGTGTCCCATAATCTGAGCACTACAGGGAGAGCGCTTGTTCCTCCAGGGCAAGCCACAGCCAAACTAGTCCTACAAGGCAGGACGTCTCAGACTCCTGAACCAGTGGAGACCGGTCTCGGTCTCAAAGGCTGTCCTGGAGGCTGCAGCAAGAGTGAGGAGGGAGGTGTGGCCGTTGATTTCCCTGCCACAATCTCTGTGTTGAGTCAGACCCGCGGCTGGGCTGGTCCTGCAGCCGGCTGCTGAGCAGAAGGAGCTGTGGTTAATGATTGACCCGTGGGAGACCTCTCTGCTTCCCTCCTACAAGGCGACCGGGGAGGCCAGTGCCAGGGACCTGGAAGGGAGAGGAGGACCCACAGCCAGGCCAAGTACTGCGGGTCTCGCTCTGAGTTGGGTAGGGAGGTCAGAGCCTCCTTCCCCTGACTGGCCCCTCCTCACTCCGGAGCAGCTATTTCCAAACCCCACCACCACCCACTGGCGCCGCCAGGGATCCTAGGGTGAATTATTCCAGGAAGTTTCAATGAGAAAGCCGAAAAACTAAGTCACCCTTGGCCAGCCAACCCCAGTGACGGAAAGTACTGCGCCCACGCTGGTGAGTTGCGGGATTTCTCTGGGAAGAGGAAGAAAGGGAAGTGGAGACATTTGGGAAGCTGGCAGCCTGGCTCTTTCTTCCTCATGGCTTCATCCAGTGGCTCCAGCGATGTCTGCTCCCGTGTCATCGATCACAGCCAGGTCCCCGACTTTGAGGTGGTCACTTGGATCAAAATCACCCTCTTCTTGGTGTACCTGGTCATCTTCGTGGTGGGCATCTTGGGCAACAGCGTCACCATCCGGGTTACACAGGTATTGCAGAAAAAGGGCTATTTGCAGAAGGAGGTGACAGATCACATGGTCAGTCTGGCTTGTTCAGATATCTTGGTCTTTTTGATTGGCATGCCCATGGAGTTCTACAGCATCATTTGGAACCCCCTGACCACACCCAGCTACCCGCTGTCCTGTAAGATCCACACGTTCCTCTTTGAGACGTGCAGCTACGCCACGTTGCTGCACGTGCTGACCCTCAGCTTTGAGCGCTACATTGCCATTTGCCATCCCTTCAGGTATAAGGCCGTGTCTGGACCTTGCCAGGTGAAACTGCTGATCGGCTTTGTATGGGTCACCTCGGCCCTGGTGGCGCTGCCCTTGCTCTTTGCCATGGGTGTCGAGTACCCCCTGGTGTCTGTGCCCACCCGCAGAGGATTCAACTGCAACCTCTCTCGCACCCGCCACCACGAGCAACCCGAGACCTCCAATATGTCCATCTGCACAAACCTCTCCAGCCGCTGGACTGTCTTCCAGTCCAGCATCTTTGGGGCCTTTTCAGTTTACTTGGTGGTCCTGGCGTCTGTGGCTTTCATGTGTTGGAATATGATGAAAGTGCTAATGAAGAGCAAGCGCGGTACCCTGGCCGGAAGCGGGCCACAGCTGCAGATGAGGAAGTCAGAGAGTGAGGAAAGCCGGACAGCGAGAAGACAGACCATCATATTCCTGAGTGAGTCCGGGTCGCAGGCGATCCTGGGGCTTCTGGCCTGAGAAGTGAAAAGCTGAGTTCACTGAGGCTAAAGAGGGGTAGCTGCATAAGGGCCTGGTGCTCGTCGGGGTGTGTGGAGAGCTGTCTCTTCTTTGTGTTTAGGAAATCTGTGGTCTATGGCATTGGAAGGTCTGGTACATCATTTCTGTGACTTCAGGCTGTAAACAACGAATCTTGGATGAAAATACTGGGAGATAAGAGGAACAAAATAAGTCACCCAGGATAGGCGAGAGTCCTTTGGAAAGGAACAAGTCCTTCAGAGATAAGGAGAGTGACTCTTATCTTCTAGACCCTTAGACCAGACAGCCTTGATCAGGCAGGGAAATTTTATCCCTATTTTTTTTTCTCCTCCTCAGAAGAGGCTGACTTGTCAGGGGTCCTGGCTCTCTAGATTGCTATTTCCGGCAGGAGTGACCTGCAAGTCTTAAGAAACTGGAGCTCTGATTCGCTCCCTCTGAGATGCACATAATTACTCCCTGCTTGGGGCCATGGATCTGTGCTTCCCTGGAAAGTGAAGCCTACCAGAGCCTCCTGTTTATCTGATCGAGAACCTGGCCTCAACATTTCTTAATGGCCCCAATTCTTGGGCCAGAGAAAGACCCCAATGCCTTCAGGAGAGAGTCTTTAGATGCTGGTTAGATAGAGATGGCTTGGATGGTGGAGAGCTTGCCCACCATGCAGGAAGCCCTGAGACCATCCCCAGCATTACATAAACTTAGTGTGACGTACCACTGTAATCCTAGCAACGGGATGTGGAAGCAGGAGGATTAGAAATTTAAGGTCATCTTTGGCTACATCGTGAGTTTGAGGCTAGCCTGGGCTCCATGAGGCTCTGAAACAAAAACAAAAACAAAGCAAAACAAAAGAGCCAAATTAAGGGCTGGAAAGATGATTCAGCAGTAAAGAGAATTTACTGCTCTTCCAGAGGTCCCTGCTTAGACTTCCAGCACTCTTGTCCAGAAGCTCATAATTACCTGTAACTCCAGCTCCAGGGGACGTGATGGCCTCTTGTGGGTGATCTCCGCCTAACATTCACAAATCCTTACATAGACATACACACATATATGAATAATAATAAAAAAATTTTAAAGACTAAAACAAAACAAAACAAAAAAACAGAAGAAAGGTTTTCTTGCTGTCCTTTGGCAGCCAAGACTTTAACTCAGACATCTGTAGTGTGTATGTCACCAAAGGGTTAAAAATATTTTTCAGCAGGAAGGTGACATCATAGGTATGTGAGTGAGAGTTGGGTCAAGGGAGAGTTGAGATTCCACACATTTTCCTCCTCTTTTTCCCTTTTCAACACACTGTCCTGAGAGAAATCAATCCTGGGGTTGTTTGTTCGCTGCGTATCAGAGACATGAGCAGCCAGCCCCAGGCCTGGGGTTCAGGCAGGGGTGAAAGTGGGAGGCACTTGGGTAAGGGTCAGCTCTGCCTTTGGCTGAGGTGGGTCAGCTGCTGACTTGACTTTAAGTCTGTAGAAAAATGATAAGACACAGGCTTGCATGATGTGGGTGGCCATCTGGCACCAAGGGCTGTGTCACTGGCCTTGTGGAAGGGTCCCCAGGACACCAGCTGGCGTTTCTGGGTTCTTGTATCCTGGCACAAGCAATTGGATCGAGGACATTTAGATAGTGGTATAAACATAGACAGTTTAGTAAGAAAGAGGTCATTCCCAAGGCAACGGGCCAGAGAGTTGGGAAATGTTAGAATCCCCACGGGCTCGGGTCCCTGGAGCTGAGATCTTTGTGGGTTGTTTACATAGTGCTCGCCGTACCCTACTCTTGGGTACTGTGCATGTTCTGTGCCTTGCTTGTGGCCCTTGGTCTTCCACATGTTAATCGTGATGCCCTTTCCTCTTCTGCCACAGTGGTGCTGGGCGATCTATGTTTCCACTTTGTATAGGAGGAATTTGAGGCTTCAAATATGGACTGGGAGGTAGCTCAGTCGGTAGAGTCCTTAGCATGTCTCTAGCACTGCCTAAAACTGGGAGTGAGGGTGTGCGCACCTGTAATCCCCGAACTCTGAGGTGGAAGCTGGGAGATCAGAAGGTCACAGTTATCCTCAGTTAGCCTAACCCGGTATATACGACACCCTGTTTAAAAACAAACAACAGCATCCACAAACCCACCTCATGGCTTGGAAATGGGTCTGTCCCAGACTTCCGTAGTCCTGGTGGAGGAAAATGATGTAAGGCAGGGCATAGGCAAAGAAGGAACAGCCTAAGCTGGCAGGCTGGTGCTCTAGGAGGTGACATGACCTGGGACATGTCACGGTACTGAAGCCAATACAGTCTCTGTCACCCTCTGTCTGTTGCGCAGAATATCCCAGGAGGAATGGTAATCGTGTGTGCTTGCTTGAACATTTGGGGAGAAACTTTTCCCCCTTTCTGAATCCCCCTAGACTTATCCTAAACTGTTAGCTGTAGTTTGTACTTTAAAGAGTTGATTTTTATTTTCTTAAACTTATTTTTATATGTGTGAATGTGTGCCTGTGCGCGTAGGTGCCCAGGGAGACCAGAAGAGGGCACTGGATCCCGGGACCTGGTGTTACAGGCAGCTGTGAACCCCCCCCCCCCCCCCATGGTGTTGGGAACTGAACTTGTGTCTTCTGGAAGGGCAGCAAGTGCTCTTAACCACTCAGCCACCTCCATAGTCCCTACCTTTTACTCTCTGTTTGACCAATCTCTGTTTCTCTGTGGGGATGACAGTCCATTTTCCAGTAGGGCGTCAGTCTCTACTTAGGGGATATGGTCAGAATACCCCAGACTTTTATTTGAAGATGGACAGCCCCTTGGAGATCTTTTCTCACAGTAGTAATTGCTGCAAATGAGTTCCTCCTCACTCTTCTCTCCTTCCCTTCTAGACTCCTCTTTTTTTCATTCTAACAGCTCTGTATTAATCACCTACTGGCTCCCAGCATAGAGATGGCTGACTGACAATCAGGTACTCAGTGTGTGAGAAGAGCTGGAGAAATTTACCATGTGCATTAAGCCCATCCTCTCTGTGGTAGGTTTTCAATGCAGTACTTGCAAATGCCGCCACCCCTCCCCAGTGTGTTTCAAAGAACTTTTAAAAATAGGAACCTCACTAATTAACTCCAGTTAGGGAGTAAATTAATGGAGTGAAGAGGAGGAAACCATGGCTTGCATCCATCAGATTAATACAATGCAATTTGCTTTGTGGGTTTCATAAACTTGTGCTTTGGGGCATTTTTAACCCGGAACAAATGAACATATAAATTGTTTACAAACCACTGAATTTAATATAGTGATTTAGCTGTCTTTTTAGTATTTCATATAACAGATGGATCAAATGAAAATAAATATTTGCTCAATTCAAACATATTTCGAATTTAATATGAAATGTAAATGACGGCAGAACACAATATGTCTTTGGAGCACTTGAGGCAATAAAAAATCAATTAAGGCTCCCTTCTCATTGTTAAAAGTTCTAACTTCTGTATAATGGAGCCAAAATTCATAAACCCAAACGAGATGAGGAAGCCTTTCTGGCGATTATTAATTTTCTTTTCTGCATATTTTTGCGGTCACCCCTCCACTGTACTGAGGTGCTGGGCTGGTGAATAATGAGAACAAATGAGGGACTCTGGGAAAAGAAACAGTGCTGAGATGACTAATAGGTCGAAAGCAACGTGCAGGATAAACTCTAATAACGCAAAAGTGCCTATTCCTGAAAACTTTCATCTGCCTCCCGATGCGTTCCCTCTCTCCCTCCCTCCCTTCTTTCTTCCCATCTGTGTGTGATGTGTATGTGTGAACATACATGGCCATTCACATGGGGTGCTTAGATGCAGGCAAGCACTCATACACATAAAAATAAATGCATTTTAAAAAGATGCAAGTAGATACAATTTTTTTGTGGTCCTCCAGAAACCTTTCAAGGCAGCAGCTTCCATGTAACTCCCAGGGTCCATTGGAACACAGAAATTGAGCTGTAAACTGTGTCACAGAATTTCATGAAATCGATGAAAGGGAACCAAAGAAACCCGTGAATCCAATGTGTCCAGCCACTAATGACGCCGAGAGTCTATCTGACTTAGACCAGGTAATCATGAAGGGACAGAACACTGATGAGGATAACCCCATGACAGGTACTTCAGCAGCAAGGGTTATCTTGATGAAAAAACACAAAGAAAACCCTCTGGAGAAAGACAGTCTATAGTATATTTGTTAAAATATTTAGTGTGTGTGTGTGTGTGTGTGTGTGTGTGTGTGTGTGTGTGTGTGTGTTTACATGTGCCTCGGGAAGCTAGAAGAAGACATTGGATGCCCTGGAACTGAAGTTACAGGCAATTGTAAATCAATTTATGGGAGTCAGGAGCTGAACTTGGATCTTCTGCATGAGCAGCCAGTGCTCTTAACCCCCAAAACATCTCTGTAGCTTCTATTTGAGACAGGGACTCAAGTAGCACAGACTGACCTTGAACTCACTAACGGTGATCTCCAGTTTCTGATCCTCTTGCCTCTACCTCCCAAGTGCTGGGATTACAGGTGTGCGCTACCATGCTCAGTTTCTATAGGGCTGGAATAGGAATCCAGGCCTTCCTGCATTCTTAGCAAGGTCTTTACCAACTGAGCCACATCCCTAGCTCACCGTAAGCACATTTTAATAGTTGTTTTCTTGACTAGTTTAATTTTCCAACCAAAGACATTTTCTGTAGTGTACAATGATCTATCAACCCAGTCTCTCAGGAAATATCATCAAAATTAAATTAGTGACTTCTTAGTGTAAGATAGTATTTTGATTCAAATGCTTGAATATATCAGGAGAAAGTTTTACCTCAAGTATTCAGATTATTGCCACTCTCTCTCCTTCCCTTTATTGATGTAGATGTGGCTATAATAAATGATATCTCCTGTTTATTTTTTCTATTTGTGAAATCCATCATAAATTGCAAATTTCCTGTGATCAGCCTGGTAGACAAATACAATAATGCTGCTTTATTTGTCTAATCAGGCTGTCTCGGAGATTTCATTTCT